TTTGGTTCGGCATCTGAACTTGAAAATACTTTCAGTAATATCAGTTGATTTATACTGATTCCGATGAATGAAAAGGGCTTGCTTTGGCTACGAGGAACGCTACCTCGGGCACCATGTCCCAGTACTCCTGGATTGCTTCATCGTCATCGTCATAGGAGATATCGTAGTAAAATCTGCAATAATTATATCTTTGAAGAATATGTTAGCTTCTATTGCGGAAAAAGTTATACGATAGTTGAGTTTTTTTTGCGTATGAAAAAAGGAGAAACGAACTTGATGGAATCGATGGCTTGGATGTAGAAGCCATTCTGAAGGTAGTAGTTAGGTGTTTCAGGTATGTACGAATTGGCAACAATTTGAGCCGCTCCTAAATCAACAAATTGGCAGATGTGGATGAGCAGCCTCTAAACCTTGTGTTGATTTTCAATTATTATTTTCTTATTTTGGGAAACTTCCTAAATTAGTACATACGTACAGTAGTGGCCAGAAATTTATGAACAAACGGTTTTTTCATGATTTCTCTTTTGAAAAGTCACTGGAACGTCTCCAAATTTGCAACAATTATTAACTACGTGTTTTATGATCCACACAGAAAATTTCAACCTTCAGCTCAAATTTGGGTTTAGAAAATTTTAGATTTTTCGAAATTAATGAAGGCAGGTGAAAGATCACTTGATCCGTTTATTTGATTTAAATAATGTATAACCCAACAGAACAGTCAAGTAAACAGTCACTAACATTAAGCAAGTCTAGCACATTGCCCAGAACTCTCTAAAGTATTGGATACATAAACTGGATTTGAATGCGGGGTCAACTAATGAACTCACTCTCTAGTGGGGTCTCTCTCTGTAGTCCCGTCTTTTCGTGGCTCTTTCATTGACATACGAATTTGTAGGTCCTCCCCTAGTGGTTCTGTAATGTTTGGCTCAAGAGTCTGGCCTGGCTGGTCTTTTAAAAGCACCCCATGCTGTCGAAACCACTCCTGCATGTGAGAGGCCCGATGCTTTGAGTCGCTGCTCTGCTGACAGACAAAGCCAGGTCGTGTGGCAGCCATGTCCACGGATACATAACATCTTCTAGAATCTAAGTCTATACTACGTATTCCTTAGTTCTCAAAGTCTAAGAAGAGCGCTCGCTGTGAAGTGGGTGGGAGTAGAATGTGATTGACTAAGTCTGAAAAGAAGGTTGACACAGGTTTCTAAGGTCATCTGGAATGACAAAAACATATTACTGATGCATGACAGCAAGGATACTAGTAATGTACGGCACCACGAGAGGGAACGTTTTGATCCAAAGAATCAGCTGCCAATTGTGAAACTTGGCGGAGGCTTGATAAGGTTGCCTTGGAAAAAAGTGGGACCACGCTACACGACTGAGGTAGCGATGAAGGCAGACGTTTGCTGTCATGTTTTGGAAGGTGTCATGTATCCTTAGGCGTGGCTGCCGCCCGACCTGACTTTGCCTGTCGGCAGAGCAGCGACTCAAAGCATCAGGCCTCTCACATGCAGGAGTGGTTTCGACAGCATGGGGTGCTTTTAAAAGACCAGCCAGGCCAGACTCTTGAGCCAAACATTACAGAACCACTAGGGGAGGACCTACAAATTCGTATGTCAATGAAAGAGCCACGAAAAGACGGGACTACAGAGAGAGACCCCACTAGAGAGTGAGTTCATTAGTTGACCCCGCATTCAAATCCAGTTTATGTATCCAATACTTTAGAGAGTTCTGGGCAATGTGCTAGACTTGCTTAATGTTAGTGACTGTTTACTTGACTGTTCTGTTGGGTTATACATTATTTAAATCAAATAAACGGATCAAGTGATCTTTCACCTGCCTTCATTAATTTCGAAAAATCTAAAATTTTCTAAACCCAAATTTGAGCTGAAGGTTGAAATTTTCTGTGTGGATCATAAAACACGTAGTTAATAATTGTTGCAAATTTGGAGACGTTCCAGTGACTTTCAAAAGAGAAATCATGAAAAAACCGTTTGTTCATAAATTTCTGGCCACTACTGTATGTACAAGTATGTACCACCCATCTAAGTTGTCTTCACTAAAGTCAAGAATACGAAAAGGGTTGATCTGCAGAGCAGAGCAGCCTCAATCTATAACACATATCAACCCGCTTGAAAGCACTATACGGGGGCCATTGTGTGCCAAACGCTTGAAACCGCGGAAAAGATTCCTTACTAGTCAAAAAGGAGACTAAGCCTCAGGCGGGGAGGAGAGCCTGCAGAGTAGCGAGCAATTTTCAATCTCTCCTATCCTGCTTTCTAATATACTCAGTCCTATAACATGCCCCGTCTCTTTGAGATAGCGCCAAAACCGCAGACGCATGTCTGTACGTGTGTCTGGATTTCTGTCTGTCCGTCCGCAAAATGAAGTGGTAGGTGACTCAAAAGGGGGGTGGGGGAGGTTAAAGGAATCTTCCACGGAAAAAGCTCCGCCCTCATTACCACAGAAAACGATACCTTAAAGGAATCTTCCACGGAAAGAGTGATCATTTTGTCTTGTGTGTAGGATTAGTATTATCGAAACTAACGCTTATGTTCCGTTCTTTTTGCTATGCTCATGAGGCTAGGGGCCTAAGGTATCGTTTTTCTGTGGTAATGGAGGCGGAGCTTTTTCCGTGGAAGATTCCTTAATTAATGCCAGGAAGAAGTTCCCCTACAGTAGCTGGGGTACACCTCTGTGAATAGAAAAACGCAGAGAAGATGCATTTATGGAGAGGAATTTCCTTGACTTCTGTCGTTGAAATACATTCATTCACTTCTGGAAATGTATAATAGTAGGTACGCAGTGTTGCGCGATGGAAAATGCCTGTATCGTTCACATAAGCCACAAGGGCCCATTTTCCACCCAGACAAGCAACCCAGTGTATTGAATATGGGATAAAAAAGGGAGTTCGAAAATGGTATCGGGCTGTGCCTCTAAGCCATTTTACGGACAAGAGCACGTTCATATCCATCCAAATTCTAAGTTTAGTCGAATACGCGGCGCATCCCCAGAGAAAAACAATACCGATCAATATACTGGGGAGACAAAAGAATAATCGCCAGTTGAAAAAGGCTATGGGCGCTGATTCTAGCACTAATCAGTTCCAGCACATGAGATTCGAGAGATTTCGAAGCCTCAAAGACAGGAAGTTGTTGAAAAAAAATCGTCGCTACTTCTGGCACTCGAAAATTAGCCTGCACTCGACGGCAAAATAGGACATTTTTGGGTATTTCCGAGTCCTCAAAGCTACGATTCCGTGATTAAACTTTACTCACCTAGGATGGCCGGAGCGAATAGCAGCCAACCCCATGCATTTTGGCCTCCGAGAAGGAAGTCGAGGGATAACACAGCCGCAACAGCAGAACCGAAGCATACAGATATGTGCACGAAACAGCTCAGTGAACCCTGAAATGAAGTGTAATACTTATTGAAGGATCATGGAGAAAGCATAGCTATTTTGAATATCTACGCTATCAACTAGGCGCTTGTTCACAAAAAAATACAGAGCTATGCTCCCTAGCGTTCTATAAGTGGGAAAAAAGGATAAAACTAGCAAAAAAGAAGATATCAAGGCGCTGTCGCAATATACGAGGGCACCCTAGAGAATGAAGCCTAGCAGGAGGCAGGGATTCCGGGAAATGAAAATGACCACGCACCCTCGAGTCTCTCCTCCCCTGCCCAGGGCCTCCTTTTTTAACAAAAAAAAATATGTTTTACGCAGTTTCAAATGTATTGTCACACAATGCCCCTCATGTCTTGCGATAGCGCCGATGTCAACATTCATTGTGGACAGGGCTTGGATCCAAGTCAACGGAGCTAAAAGCTGAAAACAACGTGCTGTTCTAATCCGCCGAGGCCCGTGTATCGCAGTGGTAACTTGTTGATATCTTCTTTCAAGCTCCTCACGAGGTTGGCAAATAACTTTATTGGGCTACGTTTCGGCGGGATCGCCTTCTTCAGAGCCTGAAAGGGTCGAAACAATTTATGACTACCCGACCAAACGCCTCAGCAACCCTACTGAAGTTCGAGACAAAGAATGTTTCGACCCTTTCAGGCTCTGAAGAAGGCGATCCTCGCCGAAACGTAAGCCCAATAAAAGTTATTTGCCAACCTCGTGAGGAGCTTCAAAGAAGATATCAACAAGCTACATTATGCCGAGGTTCATCCAAAGCCGTACGTGGAGACTGCAGTGGCAACTGCTATTACATAAATAATTAAACTGCTTGACCACTAGAGCACATTCTTGCCAGAAAGAGATGCTATAATCACAACTTGCCTTTATTTGCTTGGGAGCGATCTGCTGAACGAACAACGGCAGAAGGGCGCAAGCGATACCGGTGAACACTCCAATAAGAAGACGACCAACGATGAGCAGCGGAGCGAAGTCAAGCAAGAACGCTGTCAACCAAAAAAGTCACTGATCAGAGGAAGAAGTGGCAATTAGAAATGTTCGTGACAAGATCATCTTTTGCACACAAGACTCGCAATCAGTATAACTCGGTAAAAAACTGATCCCAAGCGAGGCAAATAACTCACATGGAGATCGATCCAAGCAGTAGTAGAACGTTGTTAACCAACATCAAAGCGCTCTTCACGCCGCGACGACGTAACAGCGGAGTGACCATGAAGCATCGATCAGCGCTCAAGGCTTTGACATGACACCAGTATCGACCTGCGAGGAAACCTCTGTGTGGAAGCTCATATCGGCAGAATGTAGTATGTACATTGAGAACGTACCACAGGACAGCTACGGTTCCGGGTAATAATACTAGACCGAAGGTGTTGAAGAGGCTCTCGGTCAGAGATTGTTGCAATACATCTTCTGGCACATTTAACACAACCATGTGATACCTTAGAAAGAAATCGTTCAAGAGCTCGCAGGTAATGGTTTTACAATATCCTACTTAATTATCGGAGCGGCAGGTCTGTCTCTACTTCTGCCTGTATCGGTCTCAGGCTGACCGTCGCCTATCTGTCCATCTGTACAACTCTCTATTCGTCTACCCGTCTGTCTTTCACTCAGTCTGTCTGTCTGTCTGTCACTCTGTCTGTTTGTTTGTTTGTTTGTTTGCTAGTTTGTTTGCCATGCCCACTAGCCCTGAGCGGTAATAAGAGTGGGAGGGGGCGACTTGAGAAGATAGATGGGTTAGAAGGTATTAACATAATCCTTTTGGCATACACCAATTTTGCATGGGCGTATGCCGAGGCTACCATAGTTGTGGGTGCCGAAATAAGTGCGTGTTTGCATAATCTAAACCATTCTCTTAGTTGGCGGCATTGGAAACAATGAATTCTTAGCTGCCTGGCTAATCCACTTGGGGGACGCTTGAATTATTACATAGGCGGGATGCGTTAAATCCAAATACCATCACGATACAGATAAGGGGTCGAATGCTTGGCTCATCAAAGAAGGACACCAATTCAAGACCTGAAGACTATCCTTAAAAATGTGTCTAGCGTTTCAGGTTGAACCTCCTAAAACTAAATATGTGTTGCCCTGATGCTTCCATCAGTATTTTGTCCCTGCACCACTCTCGCGCCCATCTAAATGAGTTAGTCAATAATGTGAAAATTTTCCTTGGTGCTAACTTAGTTGGGGGGGGGCACGCGGCGGCGCGGCAGTCTGCTCGCCTGGCATGTTCGGAAATCCGTGGGCCAGGGGGAGTGTAGCCAGTCTAGGGGGTGGGGGGTGGGGGCAGTCACTTGACATGCGTGAAAAGCTGGAATGTTCGAGTTTACACTGTCTCGCTCGAGAGAGCCCAGGTGAGCAGACTGCCGCGCCGCCGCGTGCCCCCCCCCAACTAAGTTAGCACCTTCCTTGGGAAGTCTTCTGCCTTTTTTTTGCAATCCCAGAGCCGCTAAGAAAAATAATCATCAGTATTATGCTCCACGCACGCTTCCCTAGACATGCAACAAACCGCTCCGTAAAAGCGCGTCATGTCCTGAGCGACTTTCCTGGTTAGACCTCACAGCATGCTCGCTCAATTAACTCAGACAATCAATGATGACCTTACCCAACGGGTAATATCGTGAATATTGAAGTCAATAATATAATCGTGACCACTTGTCCTCGATCCTCTTGTTTCATCAGAGTTCTCTTGATCAGTGAGGCAGGAAGCACCATCTGTTGAGAATTTTAGCATTTTTGTTGAGTTCCTTGGTTATAAAAAACGAAGGCTAAAACTTACTTTGGCATCATTGAGGAAGTTTTTAGACATTTCAATTCAAATAAGGTGGCTGGACACTTTTCCGAGTTTTTAGAGTGGTAAAAGTCGAATAGCAACTATGCTCATAGACAAATTTCCGAGCAAATACAGGAAAACAGAGCTGAAAACAAATATTCATTTCAACGAGAATTTTTCATTCTTAAGTTAAACTATAATTAAACTAAAACTATGACGAGAACTGGGTAAGAAATGGAAGAAGAGCAGCGGTAGTAATGAGTGACGAGTCGAAAGGCATTGCTGGGACAACATCCTTATCACTGAACGACCTGTGTACAAATCATATCAGGAGTAGTCGACCACGATATTTCGGTAGGTGTTTCCCGTAGTGACATCGTTTGAATTTTTTAAGGAGTTCTTATCTGGACCTTAATGGGCTTTCATACAGAGCTTTCCAACAAAATTGCTCAATATTCAATTGATCAATTTCTCCATACATCATTGAAAAAAGTCCTTCCTTCATCTCATCCCATCCCTCAGATCAAAAAGTAGTTGGGATGCAGGGTTCGCTTTCATGTTGGTATGAATTTTACCACTCCCCCGCCCCTTCCCGCTACTGCCCTTCCCCTTCATCGAACTGAGCACAAGCGACGCTCAACCCAGCTCGGGTAAATGATAGCTATAGATTCGTAATTCGAAGCGTGTTGTTGAACGGGCATCTTATAGCATTGCTGAAAAAGCTTAAGTAATACCATGTGGTAAAGGTAGAGCATAGCTTGAACAGAAAGGTTTCCGTGAGCTGTGCCGATTTGATTTCACGTCGCATAACTTGCAATTTACCACTTACCATCAATTTCCACCCTAAAAATTCAGCAATCAGAAAAAGCATTTGAAGAGATCATAATTTCGAGATTCTCCATAGCTAGTAACCTTGAAATCAATCTTATTACTTTGTTACCAATCAACGAATGAATAACTAAAAGTAGGTCCATAAAATTGCTTGAGGTGAAGCGGTAGTGAGTTGCGTACAATTTTGAGCAGTTCTGTAAGCATTGCAAGTTTTCCAACTTGTACAAGTACCGTGAACACGTTCCACCGGAGGTTGTTTGGTACTCCTAGCGCCTGTGGCAGTCGCTTGAAGAGCGACCGCAGACGGTAAGGTATCAAACATCAGTCTGAAACACACATCACATGTAGCGCGATAAGCAGCGGGTCACAACCGTCAGTAACGGGTTCATTCATAGAAGTCTAACGAACTCAGCGGTGTTGTAGGGAGGTCGGTCTCCATGTTACGATTTTACAGTTTTTGATTTTCTGAAAGTCTGCGATAAGCACTCGTCGATTTCAGAATTCGGAGACATTTTGAACACTTTGGCCCTTTTTTCAGCCGCTGTAAATTTGCAGCTTCGCTTTCAAAGTAAATGAGTATTACTTCCAAAAAAGAATGAATCATCTTCTTACTGTACAATTACACTTGCTCGTAACCGTTTTTTGGAGTGGAAAACAAAGAATAGTTTCTTCACTAAAAAGTCTAAACACTGAAGTTGAAATTTCTGAAAATCTAACATTCATAACAAAGTGATTATTGAACAAAGTGATTAGGTTGGAAGGTCACAATGCCAAATCTCTTCTCGAATGTTCCACACTTCTGATCAGGTTCCGATGAACCTAGAGGATTGAGCACAATGGGAACAACGTTGAAAGGGCTAAATCAGAGTAGAGGCAAATGGCGCATGGTCCCAAATAATGCC